TAACCCACCCACAGGATCGATCCAATGGGATCGACCTGCTCTGATAGCATGTTAAAGTTTAAAAGAAAGAAGAGGATTGCACTAGCAAGAATGGGGATACAAATAGCAAACCCTAGAAGGGTTGTACTCGGTATAGAGCACCCCACTACAGGCTAGAGCATAAGACAACATTCTGACAGATGGAGCGCTATATTACATCGTGCTTTTGATTGTCACATCTTCATTATTCGTTTTCCGCGCAGCTCTGTTTGACAACTCATAACAGGATTCGCTGGAAATCAGAGGCTGATAAAATCAAATAAACTTGGGACTTATACAAACTTAAAAGGTCCAAGATACAAGTTATTAAGTAAATATTCGAAAATGATAAATCTGGTTAGCTTCAGGCTAATATCCAAAACACTTCCCTAGTTAACATACAGGTTGTTAGAATCAGAAGTGAGGCATGGGCTGGATTTTCCAGGTTTATCCATTCCTTTTTTGACAAGCACAAATTTTGTAACAATGAAAAGATGTTGCTATCGGGTACGAACCTGGACAAGGGGCGCTTGGCACAGACTGAGCCCACACACCCACACCCCCACGTTTCGTCATTGTGAGCCCTTTCAAAACCAGTCATAAATCTCGATTCAGCTCAGAATCCTCTTATGTTCGCGTCCAGACTCTGTTTCAGCCTCAGCCGTGTTTTCTCAAGAGGCTCTCGTCCAACTTCCTGTTCCAGCCACCGTCCGCGCAGGAGAGTCGCCATGGCGGAAGCCGCGGTGAGTGGAGATCCGACGTCTGTCGAACGAAGAGTAGAAAATGTCTGCATTGCTCCTGTGATTGCGGAACCTTGACATCCTGTCTTCCCCGGTAAACAGTTTCGTCATAACTATGCTCACCGGGTCGAACACGTACCGCACGTTCTTAACTTCCTTTCTTTTTCGTGTACTGGCGTGTCAGGGCGGCAAGTACGTGGGGGAGGCGCAGGGCACGGCGCGCGCCAACATGGACACGGTCATGAAGGGATGGTTCTCGGAAGTCAGCCCTATGTGGCCAGGTGCGTGCCGCTGACGTCATCACGTTTCAATGATGACGTCAGTTACTCGGCGCTCGCGCCGATGTAGACGATACGCTACCGCCAATCCGGAAACACGTTGATTTGAGCGACGCGCCGCTGAGATTCTTGAATGTCCACTGCACGTCCTTCCATCCTGCTGCATGCTCTCCGCGTCAAATGTCGTGACACTGTCATCGTCACACTGTCACGCATTCGTCCCAGGGTTTTAGTCTCCGCAATGAAATCTCTAGCTGCAGCAGCCGCATCGCTCGTTCATTGCGCTTCCAGCGTCCGTTCTGCAAACACCAGCCCTTTCGTTAAACCTGAAGTACGTTTGCGCATTCCATGTGTCTCGGTACGTGGCTTTGTGCGAGCAGGAGAGGCGCATTCGCTAAAGATCGAGAAGGTTCTCTTCGAGGGCAAGTCCGACTTCCAAGACGTCGCCATCTTCCAGGTCCGCGCGTGGCAATTCTCCACCGGTTAATTCTCGATCCCCGTCTTCCAGCCGTTACGCTGTAACCCTGACTCACATTGTAACCAGTTTATTCCCTAGCTGGGTTCTCGCAATTGCGTGCATTGTGGTCGAGAGCGAGGATGCCCTGGTGAGGACATTCAATAGCCAGTCGCGGGGTTGGCGGTTTGAATCGAACCTGCTAGAATGTATTCTGGGTTTAGTGTTGGATCGGAGCGTGTTACCAGTTCTCGTGGTGTCAGCTGCTGTGTTTTTATGGAGGGAAGGTAACAATTGGACGCCGTGGACTAAGCCAGCTGCTTTTGTATCCATTTGTTTTACTTCCTCATTTTGTCCTTCTTTTCCTCTCCGCAACTCCCACCTCCCCCGGATGGCGCCTACCCCAGTCGGAGACGTACGGCAAGGTGTTGGTGCTGGACGGCGTGATTCAGCTCACGGAGCGCGACGAGTGCGCGTACCAGGAGATGATCACGCACGTGCCGCTCTGCTCCATCCCCAACCCCAAGAAGGTGCCGCACCCTTCCATGCCTGTCATGCAATCGATACGTTTTGTGCGTTTCCAGTCCCGCTTACGTTAATCAATGCGTGATGTAAGGTGAACAATGTATAAATGAATGATTATCCGATTTTGTGATTCACCTCTGCTTGTCGATCTGTTCCCTCCTGTGGCCAGGTGCTGGTGGTGGGGGGCGGCGACGGCGGCGTGTTGAGGGAGGTGTCGCGGCACGTGGGGGTGGAGCAGATCGACATTGTTGAGATCGACGGCATGGTCATTGATGTGAGTTGAGATCGACGGCTGAGATCGACGGTATGGTCGTTGATGTGAGTTGAGATCGACGGCTGAGATCGACGGCATGGTCATTGATGTGAGTTGAGATCGACGGTTGAGATCGACGGCATGATCATTGATGTGAGTCAGAGCACATGGGCATCAACGTGAGTCGATCTACTGAGTGATTTTTTCTGCCCTCACCCCTTGAAGCCAGCACGTGGCAACCCCTAATGCTCCTTGTCTTGCGCTCATCACCTGGAGCCTTATCCTGGGGACCTATTTGAGATGTCTTGATTGGGACTCGAAACCGTGTCTTGATTGGGGCTCGAAACCGTGTCTTGGGAGCCGGAGAGACTGTCCTCGGCTCCACGCATGGGCAGGGCAGCTGATGATCTAACGAAGAACTATGCATGCAGGATCAACCGCCTGATTCCAGCTGATGATCACACTCGATCTGATGCCCATGCCTCATTCCCTGTGCCCACATGCTCTGCTTTCTATGCTCATGCCCTGTCTCATGCAGAATTCTCTCTGCGCCGTTCTTTACACCTCTTTACTGTGTCCCTGTACAACGGAGGAAATACTCATAAACACGGGCAGCTGATTATAAAACCATGCCTGACTCCAGCTGATGACCACACCCAACCGATCTGATGCCCATGCTCCACTCCCTGTCCGCTCGTTGTACTGTTCTCCATGCCCCATGCACGACGCTCGATCCACACTTCCCTCTGCACCGCTCTGCACACCTCTTTGCTGTGTGATTCTGTCAAGCCGAGGAATGATTTCTTTTCATGGGCAGCTGATGATCTTAAGGATTAACTATGCATGCAGGATCAACCACCTGACTCCAGCTGATGATTAATGTCGATCTGATGCCCATGCACCATTCCATATGGCCCATCTCGTATTCTTCATGCGTAATGCTCTGCTCTCTATTCACAGTCCTCTTTTCTGCATGATCGTACGGATTGAGATAAACAGCTTCTGTTTCTTCTCGGGCAGCTGACGAATTCAACTTAATAATGCATGCAGGATCAACCGCCTGACCCAGCTGATGACCTAGTCTCCGCTGATGCCCATTTTCCCAGGGTTCCCTTCCTGCGTTTTCTTTCCTACTTTCCACGCCTTATGCACTGCACGTACCCACTATGTATGATAATACTCAACACTCTTTGCCTCACTCCATTCTCTCGTGCTTGCTGCGAGTCCTGGGAGGCTGAAGAGCTTCTTTTTTCTTCCTATGCACGCACATGGGCAGCTGATGATTCTGACTATGCATGCAGGATCAACCGCCTGACTCCAGCTGATGATTACACACCGATCTGATGCCCATGCTCGCTCTTCTTAACTCCATGCCCCATGTGTTCCATTCCCTCGGCTCCCTTTCACATGATCCGTCTGTCCTTGTTTGCACCTCATTGTGTTGTAAGCCTTTCCAGCAGAGGGGTTGCCTCTGGTCAAGGGCAGCTGATGATATTACGAATAACTATGCATGCAGGATCAACCAACTGATTCCAGCTGATGATAATACCTTCTCTGATGCCTGTGAAAACATTCCCTGTGCCCACTTGCTCTCTGCTCCTTTCCCCATGTTCCATGAACAAATGCTCCGTGCACAATGCTCTGTGCTGCATTGTTGTTGTTCCTCTTTGCTTTGTTATCTTGTTGATTGTTGTGATTATTTTCTTACCATGGGCAGCTGATGATTCTAAGAATAACTATGCATGCAGGATCAACCGCCTGATTCAACCTGATGATTTCACTCGACCTGATGCCCATGCTCCCTTCTCAACGCCTCATGCCATGTGCCATCAGACCCTCAATTCACAATCCGTTCCCCATCATCAAGGCCACATGCCATGATCCATCATCCCACTTCTACAGTCTACTGCACGTCACTCACATGCCCCCCCCCTCCCCCCCACATGCCGTCTCTACTCATCCCCCTCGCATCCCCAGCCTCTCCTCCAATTCCACTCTCATCACCCATTGCCTCTCTAGCCGCAGTTGTTCTCATCACTGCCCATCGTCTCCCACATCCGCCCCTGTGCGTCCCCCAGGTGTCCAAGGAGCACTTCCCCGCGGTGGCCATTGGCTACAAGGACCCACGCGTCAATGTCACAGTGGGCGACGGTGAGTTCTGCTGGCGACAGCTGTGTGCAGTGCATGCATGCTGCAGCAGTGTGCGTGTGCGTACGTGTGTGGGCATGCTGTGAAGAAACTAGGTGCCATGGCATGGCATGGTATGCTCAGTACGGCCAGTGGGTACAAAGAAGTACCCGCGCGCCAACGTAACTGGGGGTGCTGTGAGTGAGCCTCCATCACACCTGCATGCATGCTGCAGGGCATTGGTGTTCACATTGTGTGTGTGTGTGTGTGTGTGTGTGTGTGTGTGTGTGTGTGTGTGTGTGTGTGTGTGTGGATGTGTGTGTGTCAGCGCGCATCAATGTGAGCATCAGTGTGTATATTTCATCTCCTCTCGACACAGTTCGCCTCGTCGCCCACCCACACATCGAATCAACCCTATCTTATCTCACCCTCGCTTGCCACCACACGTCTCATCCGCAACCCCTAATGCTCCCTTTGCCTCCCTCGCCCGTGGCCACCATTTCTCCCCCACACACGTCCACAATATCCTGTCCATCCAATGAATTCCCCACTCTCATGTCCCTTTCCCCTCTCCCCACCCTCCCTCCACCGCGTGTGCAACCCAGGAGTGGCGTTCCTCAAGGCGGTGCCAGAGGGCACGTACGACGCCATCATCGTCGACTCCTCCGATCCCATCGGTACGCCACTGCACCGCCCTGCTCCTGCTCTCACACTCTTCACTCCTCTGGGTGTATTTCGACTCGTTCTCGGTCGACTCAAAACACCATGCCGATCCACAGTCCGAAATTTCTGAACGCTCCTATCCCCTCCTCCCCCAACCCCCCTCCCCGTCCCGTCTCCCCTGAATCAATCCCACAGGGCCCGCACAGCAGCTGTTTGGGCTGCCCTTCTTTGAGTCGATGGCACCAGACAAGTTTTCCTCAAACGCTACCCCCCTTCTCCACCCCTTATTCCCCCCTTCCCCCTGTCACCCCCCCTTTCAACCAATCCCACAGGGCCCGCGCAGCAGCTGTTCGAGCGGCCCTTCTTCGAGTCGATGGCGCGCGCGCTGCGACCGGGCGGCGTGGTGTGCACGCAGGCGGAGTCGCTGTGGCTGCATCTGCCCATCATCAAGGACATTGCCCTCGCCTGCCACCACGCCTTCAAGGGCTCCGTCAACTACGCCTGGACCAGCGTCCCCACCTACCCCAGGTCTGATGCGCTTGTATGCTTAGTGCTTCTTGCTTGGGTGGCTGTGGTTGGGATGACCGGTTTGAAACTTGGGGATGGGGAGGGGTTGTTGTTAGATGAGGGTTCCACTTGACCTGCATGTTTTTCACCTATTAATTTATTTTCATTTGTTTTCATTTGTCTTTACTGAGTTGGTCCTTCTGTTCATGCGTTCTGGTTGCATGCAGTGGCACAATCGGCTTCATGGTGTGCTCGACCCCGGGGCCAGAGGTGAACTTCAAGGTGCCATGCAACAAGATTGAGGACCAGCCTGAACGACCTGACAACCTGCCCAAGTTGCCGCCTCTAAAGTACTACAACTCTCAAGTAAGTGCTCTTGTTATGGAATACAACCTGTGCTTGGTTTTCTTGCTCTGTTGCTTTAGGTCCATCTGCACACTACCAATATCATGGAGCTATTAAGGACATGATTGATATTGTTTCCTCATCCTATTCTTGCAGGTCCATTCTGCTGCCTTCGTTCTCCCGCAGTTCGCCAAGGAGGCTCTTGAGCCCCACCTCACTAAGTAATGCTAGAAATACACTCCAAATAAATATTAGTTGTGAAATATTTCAGAATGACTGTTGAATAAAAATTGTTGAAGTATGTAGCCTTTCATGGCTCAAGCGAGTATCAACTGCCCGTCTTCGTTTGCGTCTCGTCTTCGTCTTCATCGTGTTCTTCGACGGACGGCCTTGTTGATCCTCAGTCAATCCGACTGACTGATGGCAACGCGCAAAAAAATCTACAAGCAGGACCCACCAACAAAAGACGACCACATGCACCACATTCCACCGTGGCATCAATGCCTTGGGAGCTCCGAGCGCGTTGCAAAAGTGACGGAGGGAGGGAGAGGAGGCGCGCCAGTTCTGCCTGCGAAAAGGCTAACTGAAAACAGAACCAGAGAACGCGAGGCCAACAGAAAGCTTCATTCACAAACGAAACCAGAAAAGCAGTTAGTTGCAGGCTAAAGCAGCACGGAGCTGCGACAGCGCGCGGCAGCCAGCAGCAAGAGTATCTTACCCCACACCCAAATCCCCGCCAGAATTCTCGCAGGCATTCTGCTCCAACGAATCTCCAACCCTCGTAGTTTGTGAGAGGTAGATATCTAAGCACAACCTCGCTTCAACCCTTCAGATTTAACTCTCTATTTCCGTGTCCTTCACCATGGTTGTGTTTTGAACAAGATATGGAAAATGGAGCGACAGACGGTTCAGACGACGACCCCTCACGGCACGTACATGCCTACAGTAGCGCGCAGCAACAGCAACAGCGAGGAGCGTCGTTCAAAGCTGCTGCTCTCGACGGTCCCTCCACGCTCGCGTCTTTTCCCGCCGTCGTCGGCGCGACATCCGTCTCCGGTGCGTCGTCAGAGTGGCGTAACGCGCATCACAAGCCGTCGTTTGAGTCCGCGAGAAAATAAGGCTTTAACTGGAATGGGGCTGCTTGGTCTTGCGCTGCTCTAGTGAGTCCACTCCAGTGACGTGGCGCGGCCTCGCCAGTGCAGCGTTCTCCGCAGCACTGGACTCGTTACCTGACGTCTTGTCGTCGTGTCCGCGTCTGAGTCGTTCCGTCGACCCTGTTAGGGCGGGACGACGTTCCCTTCTCATCGTTTCGCCGTGTTGTCGTCGCGTCGGCCGATCCTCAATACCGCCGCGCCTGGAATTCAAGAAAACTTCACGAAGCCTGTCGAGGTGTCGAGACGCGCTGCACGCACCTTTAGCAAGCGACGTGCTGAGGAGAAATGCTAATCGCGGCATGTCGACAGAAGGGATCTCTTCGCGCGCCAATGCATGCGTGACATTCTCTAAAAGCTGCTCCAATGCGCTCACAATCACGTAACTCGCTCAGCCATGAGCCACAATGCCTTAGTTACGTGGTAACCCTCGTTTAGCCATGTGTCAGCGAGTCCGCGAGTGAGGCAGGCGCGATTGCTGTCTCGGATCCGCGCTTTCCTTCCCTGCTGCTGCTGCAGGATTGTTAGTAGGCGTTTGATCTGCGCTTCGCCAATGCTAACCATCTGGATCCGCGGGTTTCCTGCTGTTATTCGATGCTGTTCCGCATTCATGCGATCTCTCTTCCCTCGTGTCGTCCGGCTCCTCGTTCTCTCTTCTTTCGGCACGTGCTCTTTTTTCCTTTCCCCCTGCTCTCGTTTCCTTCCCCCCTGCTCTCTTTTCCTTCCCCCCTGCTCTCTTTTCCTTCCCCCCTGCTCTCTTTTCCTTCCCCCCTGCTCTCCTTTCCTTCCCCCCTGCTCTCTTTTCCTTCTCCCCTGCTCTCTTTTCCTTCCCCCCTGCTCTCTTTTCCTTCCCCCCTGCTCTCTTTTCCTTCCCCCCTGCTCTCTTTTCCTTCCCCCCTGCTCTCTTTTCCTTCCCCCCTGCTCTCTTTTCCTTCTCCCCTGCTCTCGTCTCCTGCCTGACTCGTGTGCGCAGTCCACGTAAGGGAGAGCACCTGTCACGCTCACACGCAGGACTAAGAAAATCCTCTCGTCACCTTTCTCTCGCCTCTCGTCTCGGTTCTCTCTCTTCTCGTCACCTTTCTCTCGCCTCTTGTCTCGGTTCTCTCTCTTCTCGTCACCTTTCTCTCGCCTCTCGTCTCGGTTCTCTCTCTTCTCGTCGCCTGTCTCTTGTGCGCAGGCGCAGTAAGTGCGGGCACCTTCCACACGCACACGCAGGAGCTGTCGCCCTTTGCTCTCCAACAGCTGCAGCAACAGCTGTACCAGCAGCAGCACGATCAGCAGCAGCAGCAGCAGCAGCAGCAGCAGCTGCAGTTGCAGTTGCAGCAGCAACGACATCAACAGCAACAGCAGCAGCAACATGAGCAGCGAGTGCAGGCACAGGATCCAGTCGCATCACAAGCAGATGGTTTCAGATCAGCACGGCCACCCAATGTAGGCTCTGTAGGCCTCTCCTCACCACAAGCCAGGGCGGAGGGGGAACGCTGTGTGGTAAATTCTCTGGGGGGAGAGTGTGTGGGCGCGGGAGTGGATCCAGCACCTGCATCTGCTGCTCAGGGCGGGTCGTCCCCACCCACACCACCACCACCGGGCATTGCGGCACCAGCTCCTGCTGCTCCTGCTCTCACCGCCTCTCTTGCCAACACGCCCCATGCAACTCCTCCTGCTGCTGTGGCGCCCGGAGGAGCAGCAGCTGCTGCTGCTGCTGGGGTTGGCAATGGTGAATGGGGAGTGCCGCCCACCTCCGGTGCGCATCAGCATATGGTAGCACAAGGAACGGTGCAGCAAGGAGCAGTGCTGCACCAAGCGGTGCAGAACGGTTCCCCTCGAAATCCTTCTTGTAGCGAGCCGTCTTTTGCTGCAGATCCTTCCTCTGTGTCGCTTGCTGCTGCTCCGTCTGCCACCTGTGTTTCTCCCCCACCGGATTTCGTTGTTGCGTCTGCTCTGTATGCCACTCAGCTGACTGCCCCCACTTGCTCACCTGTTTCAAGCCCTGCTGCAAAACCTGCTACGTGTCCCGTTACAAGTCCAGTATCAAATCCTGTTACAAGCCCCGTTTCAAATCGTGTTTCAAGCCCCGTTTCAAATCCTGTTACAAGCCCCGTTAGAAATCCTGCAACGAAGCTAGTCACAAGTAGGGTCGCGCCAGGTCATGTGGGGGCAGCAAGCACGGGCCAGCAGCAGGGCGCACTGATCGGGGGTGCTGCCTCCGCCCAGCTCATGGCCTCTCTCACTGCAGCACCAGCGGTGGGACCAGGAGCTGTGGCGAGTACAGGAACAAAATTGTCGCCAGCGAGAGCAGTAGGCGCAGGGGCAGCAGGCAGCAGCGCGCAGCACCCTGCAGTTGCAGCAGTAGGCGCAGGAGGAGGGGGAGGCGGAGGAGGTGCAGCGGAGAGTGCATCACAGTTGTCAGAAGCACTTGCGGCCGCAGCAGCAGGGGGTGGCGCGGGGACAGGGGGAGCAGCGGGGGCGCAGCTGTCAGCAGCGCTGGCAGCAGCGGGGGGCAGCAGCGCGCAGCTGTCGGCTGCACTGGCGGGCCTCACGGGGACTGGCAGAGGCGCCGCCTCCAATGAACCCCGACTCAGGGACGTGCTCAGTGACCCCCTCACGTGAGTGCTCACTGCTGCTGTTGCATGTGAGTGCAATGACCCCCTCACGTGAGTGCAGCGACCCACTCATGCGAATGCTCAGTCCTACTGTTGCATGTGAGTGCATGAGGGGCACAGTGTGACTCCGTTACTCTGTTATGTCGCGCAGAGTGCTTGAAATGAAGCGTTTTCCGGTTTCGCCAGCACACATACCTTTATGGCTTCTGAACGGTCCATGTGTCTTTGTTGGGCGTTGGTGACTGTCTGCTGCGTTTACCTTGCTTTTCAAAGGTTGCAGCTTGGAAGTTGCATACAAGCTGCCTGTATCTGATGGCACCAATTGTCGGACCTGTCTTTGTGTGGCATGTGTGTGTGTGCGCGTGCGTGTGTGTGTGTGTGTGTGTGTGTGTGTGTGTGTGTGTGTGTGTGTGTGTGCGTGTGTGTGTGTGTGTGCGCGTGTGTGTGTGTGTGTGTGTTCGTGTGTGTGTGTGTGTGTGTGTTCGTGTGTGTGTGTGCGTATGTGTGTGTGCATCCGTGTGTATCTGCATGTGCACACAGGGGTCGATTGCTTGATGACGCCGTGGTGGGGTGCTGCGGCCATTCCTTCGGAGGGGCAACGCTGGCCGTTGTGCGCGAATCAGTGAGCACCCACCCCCCTTCCAACTCCACCTTCCAATTTCTCACTCCACTCCGCTCCACAATCATTTTCCAACCACACTGCACCCACTCGCATGTGTGCCATGCCTCAGGCGTTGCTGCACCCAATACGAGCTGGTTTTTGAGAATTCTCAAAAACCAGCTCGTCTTCCCGTTGGACCGTTCACATGGCTCCTCTCCTCGCCACTACCTCCTCACGTTCCACCCTCCGCCTGCCATCACGGATTCTCTGCGTCATCACACCTCTTGCTGCCTTTCGTCCCCAAACTGCTCCTGCCTTCTTGCCTATGATCCCCTACTCCCCCTCGTGACTTGTCCTCCCCAGAGCACGTGTCCCGAGTGTGGCGCACACATAGACGCCGCCACGCTCACCCCCAACCTCACCCTGCGTGCCGCCGTCGCTGCCTTCCGCCGCGAGTCCAGCTCCCTCGCTGCCGCCGCCATGGCTGCTGCCGCTGCCGCTGCCGCCCAGGTGAGTTGCCTGGTGAAATGAGATAAGTGGATCTGTTGTGAGGCATGTCCACGACTCGAGTGTGGCATGGCAGTGAGCTTGTTCCCTCACAGTTCCATCTGCTCTCTCTCACGCCTCCCTGCTTTCCCCCACTGTTCCTCCTCCCCTCTTCCACCCCGCCAATTCAACCCGTCCCCCAGCTATCCGCGGACACGCCCACCCACGCGCACCACCACGCGTCCTCAGCCTCACAGCACTCCCCTTCACTCTCCTTCGCCGTCGCCGCTGCCGCCGCCGCAGCCACAGCAGCCGGCTCTCCACCAGCAGTGCCCATGGGGGGCCGAGGAGGGGCATCCCTCCTCGCCTCCTTCGCCGCTTCCGCCTCTCCCACTGCCTCCAAGCCCGCTGCCCCGCTCCAAACCCTCCCTGGTCCGGCCCGAACCAGCTACGCTGCGCCAGGCTCGGTCACCGCCGCCAGCCTCCGAGCCTCAGCCGAGGCTCCCCAGCCGGGCACACAGCAGCCCGCCCATCCTGCACCTGTCCGGCCGGTCCGGTCGTCCAGCACGGCCCAGTTCCCATTCCGAGTGAACGACGTGGTGCTGATAAAGGGCAACAAGCGCACACCGGAGCACTTCATCGGGCGCAAGGCCATCATCACGACGCAGTGCCTCAACGGGTGGTACATGGTGCGCACTCTCGATGGCGCTGCTGACGAGGTGCGCCTGCAGTACCGGTCCCTGGAGAAGATCCATGCTGCTGCCGCTGCTGGGGGAGGAGGGGCAGGGGGGAGTGGAGGGGGTGGAGGAGCGGATGGGGTTGGTGCTGGTGGGGTTGCGGGGGGGGGGAGTGTGGTGACAGGTGGGGGAGGAGGGAGTGGGGGCGGGGGGAGAGGAGGGGTGGGTGGAGGCGAGGGGGAGAGTCATCGGCTGCTGCCGCCAGCTGGGGTGCCCAAGGGGCGAGGGGGAGGGCATGGTGGAGCGCGCAGGGAGACCAAATCCAGTGAGTGCTGCTCTGCTCTGCTCTGTGTGCATTGGAGGTTTCGCTAGTCTGGGGCGGCTGATGTGGCTGAGTGTGGCCATGCTTGCGAAACTTGCTGAATCCTTCTGCACCGCACCTAGCCCTGGCTGTAGCAGCTTCCTTGGTGAAATCTTTGTCACCACGTACCTCATTTGCTTAACCGTGCTGCTCGCTTCATACAAGTATACCTGCCCCCACACCCCTGCCTTCCCCCTGCCTCTATCGAACCCCACCTTCCCCCTTTTCTCAAACCCATCCACCTGTTTTAAAGAACCTTTCATCCCACTCCCACAACACCCCCCCCCCGGTCCCCTACCTACCCACCTCTTTCCGCCACGCCCCTTCCAACTCTCCTCTTCCTCCCGCCCTGTCTGTGTCCCTGCCTGCCAACTCTCCACCTGGTCGCCCCCTTCTCGCGGCAGTGGGGCGGGGCAGGGGAGGCCGGGGGGCGGGGAGGGCGGCAACAAATGCATCGCCCATCAGCACGCCAGCGTCACTCTGCGGCAGTCTCTCCACGCCCAACGCGTCCCTCTGGACCGGTGCGTCGCTCCCCCACCCCTCCCCCCTGCCCTGCCCTGCCTCGCACCTCCTGTCTTGCTCCCCTCTCTTCCTCGCTCCTCTATGCCCGCCTCTGCGGCAGCCTCTCCATGCCCAGCGCCTCCTTCTGGACCAGTGCGTCGCTCTCCTCCTCCACTCGTCCCCCTGCCTGTGTTGCTCCCCCTCTTCTGCCTCTTCCTCTTGCCTGTCTACCTTGTGCCTCCTGTTCTCCCCCTACTCTCTCCCCTCCCCAACCCCCCGGCTACTCCTGTGTTGCTCGCTCTGCTCTGCCCCGTGCCTGGGTTCTTCTCTTCGTGATTCTCTCTGACATTTGGCCACGCAGTCCCTCCTCATCAGTCTTGCAATCCCATGCCTTGTGAACTGATGATCGTCTTCCCTACACACGCCAACTCAACCAGCACTCTCCCTCACTAACATTTCGAATGGGCTAAAAGCTTGAAGTTCTCTTTCCCCCCAAGCTTCCTCAACGTTCCTCATGCCGCCCTCCTCCTGCACATCTCAACTTCTCCTCTTCCACACTGCCCCATCCCTCAGGTTCGGTGGCAGGTTCGGCAGCAGCATCGGATGCAGCAGGGGGAGCATCACGGTCAGTGTCAGTGTCGGGGGACTTTGGCATGTGCAGCGGGCCGGCAGGGGAGGTGGAGCAGGGCGCCATGTCCACCACTCCCAGAAGCGGCACCTCCCATGTCACCCGCATGTCCCATGCCGCCCCCATGCCCCACATGCCTCATGTGCCCCACATGCATGGTCCTGGTGGTGCTATGGTTGTGAATACACCGCACACTAGCATGTCAACGCCCCATCACGCCATGCCGTCTGCCCACCACAGCTCATCAACGGCTCCACAGAGCACGGTGGTTTATCCGACGGCCAGCAGCGCGCCCACCACGCCGGCATCCATTGGTCATGCTGCCATGCCCGTGCCTGCTAGCCCAGGTTCGGCCGTGCCTGCCAGTCCAGGTCCGGCCGTAGCAGCAAGCCCAGGCTCGGTGGGGCGAGTGCAGCGAGGGCTGGGTGTGCAGGCGAGCCCAGGCTCGGCAACTTTCCGGCCCTTGTTCCAGACAGGCCGGGGGTATGCGGCGGAGAGAACCGATCCTGGAGGAGGTTCGGTAGCGGCAGGGGCGGCAGGAGTAGCAGGAGGCAGAGGTGAGGGGTCCGGTGTAATGGGCGAGGGGACAGGTCTTACGGGCTCAGCTCAGGCACCGGGATTCGGTGCACCGAAGGCGGTGAGCTCATCAGCGGTCGAATCTTTGACAGTGGGCGCAGCGGCAGGTGGTGGTGTGGCAGCAGGGACGGGGGGGGAAGCAGGGCAGGGGCATTCCCTAGCAATGGGCGGTCAGAGGCCAACTGAAGGGGTTCTGAGGAGTGAAGTGTATGGGCAGCAAGTGGGTGTGCAGACTACAGGGCAGTGTATGGTGCAGCAGCCCCTAGGTCAGCACAGTCAATTGGGGCAGCAGGGACAGATGGGTCAACAGGGTCAAGTGGGTCAACAGGGTCAAATGGGTCAACAGGGTCAAATGGGTCAACAGGGTCAGATGGGTCAACAGGGTCAGATGGGTCAACAGGGTCAGATGGGTCAAATGTCTCAGCATATCCTTCAAGAGCAGAGCCAACCATTCAATCAACCCGGTCAACCAAGTCAACGAGGCCAAGCGAGTCAAGGCTATGTGCCGCCAGGTCAGCAGCAGTGGAGCGCCGCACAGGGGGCAGGACTGCGGCAAGGAGGAGCAGAGACGGCGCAGGTGTGGCAGGCAGCAGTGCAGGGGCAGGGGGGCACTGCCGTGCAAGGGGCAGGGGGCGTGATGCAGATGCAGAATCCGATGAGCGTGGGTGCAGGGCCAGGTGGTGCGGTGGTTAGTCAGGCAGGGATGCTGCCCAACCAGGGCGGCATGGCAGAGAGTGAGGGGCGTGTGATGGCTGGGCAGGGGGGAGCAGCGCAGCAGGCGATGGGGAGGCAGCAGCAAAGCTGCGCGCCAGGTGGCTTTCTCCCTGCTGCCGTTGACATGCTGCCTGCAGCTCCCAGCTATGTAAGCTGCCATGCTATGAGCTGCCATGCTATGAGCTGCCATGCTATGAGCTGCCATGCTATGAGCTGCCATGCTATGAGCTGCCATGCTATGAGCTGCCATGCTATGAGCTGCCATGCTATGAGCTGCCATGCTATGAGCTGCCATGCTATGAGCTGCCATGCTATGAGCTGCCATGCTGTGAGCTGCCATGCTATGAGCTGCCATGCTATGAGCTGCCATGCTATGAGCTGCCATGCTGTGAGCTGCCATGCTATGAGCTGCCATGCTGTGAGCTGCCATGCTATGAGCTGCCATGCTATGAGCTGCCATGCTATGAGCTGCCATGCTGTGAGCTGCCATGCTATGAGCTGCCATGCTATGAGCTGCCATGCTGTGAGCTGCCATGCTGTGAGCTGCCATGCTGTGAGCTGCCATGCTATGAGCTGCCATGCTATGAGCTGCCATGCTGTGAGCTGCCATGCTGTGAGCTGCCATGCTGTGAGCTGCCATGCTATGAGCTGCCATGCTATGAGCTGCCATGCTATGAGCTGCCATGCTATGAGCTGCCATGCTATGAGCTGCCATGCTATGAGCTGCCATGCTGTGAGCTGCCATGCTATGAGCTGCCATGCTATGAGCTGCCATGCTATGAGCTGCCATGCTGTGAGCTGCCATGCTATGAGCTGCCATGCTATGAGCTGCCATGCTGTGAGCTGCCATGCTGTGAGCTGCCATGCTGTGAGCTGCCATGCTATGAGCTGCCATGCTATGAGCTGCCATGCTATGAGCTGCCATGCTATGAGCTGCCATGCTATGAGCTGCCATGCTATGAGCTGCCATGCTATGAGCTGCCATGCTATGAGCTGCCATGCTATGAGCTGCCATGCTATGAGCTGCCATGCTGTGAGCTGCCATGCTATGAGCTGCCATGCTGTGAGCTGCCATGCTGTGAGCTGCCATGCTGTGAGCTGCCATGCTATGAGCTGCCATGCTATGAGCTGCCATGCTATGAGCTGCCATGCTGTGAGCTGCCATGCTGTGAGCTGCCATGCTGTGAGCTGCCATGCTATGAGCTGCCATGCTATGAGCTGCCATGCTATGAGCTGCCATGCTGTGAGCTGCCATGCTGTGAGCTGCCATGCTGTGAGCTGCCATGCTATGAGCTGCCATGCTGTGAGTGCTGTGAGCCCAGCCCAGCTGCTCTTTCTCCAGCTTCTTTGGCTCCTCTCCCACGTGCTGCTCTCTCCCACGTGCTGCTTTCTTAACGTGCTGCCCTCTGCCTCCTGCTACTCTTTCTCACCCTATTCTTTCACTCCCTTGCTTCGTCTCCCCTCATTTACCTCTTCGCTCCTCATCTTTTGTGCCTTGTCTTGCTAATCTGCCCTCTCCCCACCCCTCGCCCCATCCCACTCCTTGCTTTCGGACGTCCCCCTGCAGGGCGCTGGGTTCACAAGCAGCAGCGGAGCACACCTCCTTCCTTTGCCCGCCACACAGAGCCTTGCCGCCCAGCAGATCATGGCAGCCACGCAGCAGCAGCAGCAGCAGCAGCAGCAGCAGCAGCAAAGTGACATGTCTTCTCAGCACAATCTGTTGCAACAGCATCAGCAGCAGCAGCAGCAGCAGCAGCAGCAGCAGCAGCAACAACAACAACAACAGCAAGGTGTGTTTGGCAGCGAGCATATGCTGGAGGCGCAGCAGCAGAGGCAGCGGGTGCAGTGGCGGGCGGCAGCAGAGGCGGAGGTGGAGAGGAGCTCTGGGGTGCGCCGTGCCCTCCACTCCTCCTGCACTCCAGCAGCCCAGGACTCGCAGGGGCAGGGGCAGGGGCAGGCTGAGCGGGAAGCACAGGCGCAAGCACAGGGGCAGCAGGAGGTAATTCAGGTGAGATCTCAGGTGGTGAGCCCTCCGCCTGGTGTAGTGAGTTCCCCAGGCGGCATGGTGATGGGAGTGGGGGGTGCGTTCCTGGACGCTGTGAGCCCACCGTTTGGGTTTGTGAAGCGCGAGGAGCAGCAGCTGGAAGGATTCTCCCTGGGGCAGCAGCAACTAACGCAACAGCAAGCGCACCAGCAACAACAAATAGAGCAGCTGCAGCAGCAGCCACAGCAACAACAACAATTTGCAGTACAGGATTTCAAGCAGCCGTCCATGTATGCACCTAATGCTCCAAGCAAGGAAGAGAGGTGCGGCATGAACAGCAATCAGCGCCCAGACACTGTCGTCTGCTTTGACTTACAGACCGGCACAGACAGCAACAACAAGAGGTCGGGAAACGGCTGTGCCCCCCCTACAGTAGCAGCACCGGTATCACCGCCACAGGCACCACAGGCATCGTCGGAAGCAGCAACGAGCCTTCTTCCCTCCCACGCGAGCAGGTTGCAATCTCAGATGCAGCAGCAGCAGCAGCAGCAGGAGATGCAATCTGCTTTGCAGGGGACGGAGAGGGTGACTACAACGAAGCCTTTAACTGTGACTATGGTGAGATCGGGCTGGAGGATTTGTCACGTGGGGGGGGCGAGCTTGACAGCGGCGGCCTGGACTGGTTCGACCAGTTCTGAGAACCAAGGGACGAGCGCTGGGCTGCCGGCTGCAGCCACGCTGCATGCATGCCCGTTGAATGTGATGGCAGGTGGTGCCTCCAAGGATGTGCAGCTTCTTGATCATTCTCAAAGATCGCTCACAAACACTGCAGCCATGCTGTCCTCATGCCCATTGGATGTGGCAGGAGGCGCTGCTGTAGACGACAAGCAGCTTGGGCTTCTGGGAGTGAGGCCAGTGAATGGAAGCCAGCAGTGCAACCGTTGCAGCATGCCACGTGGATGTATGCTACGTGGCAGCATGCCACTGGATGAAGCATGGGCGGCTGCCTCTATTGGATCAGTTAGAGAAGGAGCAGCATCAGCATCAGTGCCTGCAGCAGTGGCAGCAGTAGCAGCAGCAGCACCAGCGATAGCAGCAGCACCAGCAATAGCCGTAGCAGCAGCAGGGTGTGTGCTGGGACAGCAATTCTCAGGTCGTCGGGTACCCTCCTCCACAGCCAGAGCGCTTTTCACAGACTTGCCTTCCTCCCCGCGTGCCACCTGCAGTCCCCCCTCACCACCCCCTGCCACATGCCTTGCCCGTCCCAATCGGGCCACCGTTGCTGCCAGTGGTGCTCTTGGTACCGCCACTGCTACCGTTGCTGTTGCCAGTGTTGCGTCTGTCGACATTGCAACTGCCAGCATTGCAAGCGCCATGGGAGCTGCTTCTGGAGCTGGTGCCGGGCCTTGGGTGCACGCCAGTGCCCGAGATGCTGCTTGTGCTGCTGCTGGCAGGCATGCCGTGACAGGAGCAAGTGTCGTGGAGAATGGTGGGGATGCTGATACGTACGCCAATGCAGTCGATGATGATGCTCCTCCTGACGCTGCTCTTCATACGGCTCCAGATGTGCATGCATCAGTGCATGCTGCGAGTCTCAAGACACACTCTCCGTCTGACCCTCTGGTGAGTGTGATAGCAGATGAGGCGGGGGCAGGTGTAATGGAAGAGAGGGACGAGAGGGGAGAAAAAGAAGTGGCAGGGGCAGCTGCAATGGGAAAGGGGAAAGAGGGGGGAGAAGAGGAAGTGGGAGGGGAAAGGGAAGACGGAGGAGAAGAGGAAGTGGGAGGGGAAAGGGAAGACGGAGGAGAAGAGGAAGTGGGAGGGGAAAGGGAAGACGGAGGAGAAGCGGAAGTGGGAGGGGAAGGGGAAGAGGGGGGGAAACGGGGCAGGCAGGAGAAACAGGGGGCGCAGGAAGGGGGATCTGATGCGGGCGAGGGGGATGGGGGAAGGGGAGAGGAGAGACGCGGAGGTAATGATAATGGGGGGAGCGGCGAGGAGGGCGAGGGGGGCAGTGAGTGGGGCGGAGGAGGTGGAGGGGGGGGAAACGAGGATGGGGAGAAGGGAGGAGATAACTGGGGAGATGGTGATAGGGGAGATGAGGGAGAGGATGATGAGGGAGAGGATGATGAGGGAGAGGAGAAAGACGAAGAAGGGGAGGAGGAAGCAGAAGGGGAAGAGGAAGGGGAAGAGGAAGAGGAAGAAGCAGGAAGAGAGGAGGAGGGTGGGTCCGATCGTGCAGCAGTGGTGGGGCCTGGGGCAGAGAGGAGCGGGACAGCAGCAGCAGGGGAGTGCAGTGGGGGAGGGGAGGCCAACGTGAGGCGGCTGGAAGCTGCCTCTATCAGCCATGCGGGTGGTGTGAGCTCAACCCTCACTTCCAACACACAGCCTGTGCCTGTGTCATCACGGGGACCGGTGCCATCACAGGGGGCGGTGCCATCACAGGGGGCGGTGCCATCACAGGGGTGGGTGCCATCACAGGGGGCGGTGCCATCACAGGGGGCGGTGCCATCACAGGGGGCGGTGCCATCACAGGGGGCGGTGCCATCACAGGGGGCGGTGCCATCACAGGGGGCGGTGCCATCACAGGGGGCGGTGCCATCACAGGGGGCGGTGCCATCACAGGGGGCGGTGCCATCACAGGGGGCGGTGCCATCACAGGGGGCGGTGCCGTCACAGGGGGCGGTGCCATCACAGGGGGCGGTGCCATCACAGGGGGCGGTGCCATCACAGGGGGCGGTGCCATCACAGGGGGCGGTGCCATCACAGGGGGCGGTGCCATCACAGGGGGCGGTGCCATCACAGGGGGCGATGATGCTGGTATCAGGGGCGACCGCATGGCAGCGCAGCAAGGCAGGGGAGGTCAAGGACAGCACCACCACTGCCTCCTCCTCCCCCAAAGTGAGTCATCCCACCTATGTGTGCTGCTTGCAAATTGCTGCACCCCCTGCCCTCGTTCTCCCACCCCCTTGGTTAGGTTCGTTGGCCATCAATCGCAACTGGTTCTCCAGTCATCCCTGGGTTCGTCATGCCAATATTACCCGCTCTGTTACTGTGCCAAAATTTGCCCTGTGAATCAACCCTGAAGTGAATTCGTGTACTTTCTCAACCCAACCAACCCCTGCCTGCACCACCGCCATCTGCCCAGATGACGGCTCTGGACCTTCTGAGGAGGAAGAGCCCTGCGCCCCCATCCATCTTCCGCCCACCCAAGGCAGCTCCACTGCCCGCACCCCCACCACCTGCACCCGCACCAGCTTCAACTGCACCCGTTGCACATGCGGCACTGGCAGCAGCAGCAGCAGCAGCAGCACCAGCAGCAGCAGCAGCAGCACCAGCAGCAGCAGCAGCGGCTCTTTCAGCAACCCCTCTGTTGTCAGCCACACTCGCATCGGCACCACCAGCTGCACCCGCAGTGCCAGCTGCACCCGCTGCAGTTGCAGTGCAGTCCGCACCAGCAGCAGTGTCTCCAGCAGTGCACGGTGCAGGTGCAGCAGGAGTGGATGGGGGAGAGGATGTGCCGTCAGCAGGCGCGGATGGGGAGGCGTTGGTGGGAGAGGGGCGCGAGGGGGAGAGAATGCAAGGGGAACCCGAGCAGAGGAATGAGGGGAAGGAGGAGGGAAACGGAAAAGAGGAGGTAAATGAAGAGGAAGGGGAAAACGGCGAGTGGGGAGAAGAGGATGAGGAGGGTTTGCCAGGGACGACAAGTGGGCATGAGTTTTGGGCTAGAAGCATGCCTGTTAGCACTGGTGGTGGAGGTGGTGGTGGTGGTGGGGATGGTGATGGTGATGGGGATGGTGATGGTGATGGTGATGGGGATGGTGTTGGGGATGGGGATGGGGATGGGGATTGTGGTGGTGGTGATGATGGTGACGGGGATTTGGATGGGAATGGGGATGGTGACAGGGATAATGGAGTGGAATCATTAGGCAGAGGTGAGTTGCGGCAGGGTGTTGGGGGGAGGGCATTGGAGCACAGCGAAACTTCTCCCACTGACACAGCTGTGGGCAGTGATTCAAGGGAGATGGGCGTGGGTGTGCTGGTACCCCAGGCGCAACAAGGTGCTCGTGGTGCTGCCGGTGGGGTCACTAAGGCTCACAGACGCACTGCTGCTGCTGGCGCCACTGATTCTGACACGCATGAAGGGGAACCGGTGCTCGGAAAGAGGGGTTTGGGAAGAGAGGGTTTGCGAGGTGGAGAGCCTAGCGCGCCTTTGGAGGCGCTTCCATTGGCGAGAGACAAGGAGGGGGGCGAGCAGTGGCAGCAGGAGGCGGAGCAGGAGCAGGGAAGAGTGAGTGCGCTTGCCGTCCCACATAGAAATGGCGTCTCAGATTCTGTTGGCAGGGGCGCCGGCCTTGCTGCCAGGCGTGGTGGTGAGAGTGGCAGCACAGATGCTCGTGCTGCGATGCTCGTGGGGGCTGCGCCCGCAGGGCAGGACAGGCCAGCAGGGCAGGACAGGCCAGCAGGGCAGGACTGGCCAGCAGGGCAGGACAGGCCAGCTCGTGGGGTGTTGGGCGAGGAAGGGGTGAGGGTGAGCAGGGAGGGTGGTGAGGGCAGTGAGGGTGGCAAGGGTGGGCAGGATGTGCAGGGGAAGGGGGGCGAGACGGGAGGGGCGAGTGAGCAGGGCAGCGCGGGTGCGAGGGAAGAGGGGGCGGAACAAGAGGTGGGAGCCAAAGCGGAGGGCAACAAGTGTGTTGAGGAGTGGGGGGTAAAGGTGAAGGGAGAGGTTGAGGAGGGGGCGGATGAGGGGGTTGGAGGGGATACGGTGGTGTTTGTAGGGGTAGGAGGAGGGGGAGGGGATGTAGGGGCAGGGGCAGGGGCAGGGGAAGGGGAAGCAGAGGAGGAGGTGGGGCGGGGAAGGAGGGGGAGGAGGAGAGGAGGCGAGGTGGGGGTGGGAGGGCGAGGAGGAGGGAGGCAGAGGGGACTCGTTGTGCCGAGGGCAGGTGGGCGCCACATGGTGCGTTGAGTTGAATGCATGGGCTGTGTGGGGAGGTTGGAGAGAGGGGACGGGGAAATGTGTGTTAGAAGAGAGAGAATTGATGCACTGAATAATGAGCCAAAAGGCTCTTTAGTACAAGCAATGAGCAAGGGAAAGATGAGAAGAAAGCTTACCCTATTGGCCAATAAGTTGGCCAATGGGTGAGCTTGCTTATGGCCCAAGCAACCACAAAATATGTGTTGGTTGGGATTGGTTGAGGTAAGGACCAATCCCCACCAACCACAAAATATGGTTGGAGGGTACACTAACCAACCCCCCAATTTATAAGAGTGCTACACATCTAAGTCTAGCCTATGCATGTTGTATAAAATATGGAATTACAACACAACCCCCCAACATGCATAAGGCTAGAAGGCTACAATCAAGAAGCGGGGACCAACTTCGGAGGAGTAAGGCCAAGGAGACGAATTAGTGAAGAGTGAGCCGCATGAGGAAGAGCTTTTGTGAAGATGTCGGCAAGGTTGGCCGCGGAGTCAACCTTGTCGAGCCGCAGGCGCCCAGCCTGAACAAGACCGCGAATGAAGAAATGACGGAGCTCAATGTGCTTGGAGCGCCCGTGAAACACAGCATCCTTCGTGAGGTGAATGGTGCTGGCGTTGTCACACCAAATGGTGGGGCAGCGCTGGGGGGCACCTAGCTCCTCAAGAAGGAAGGAGAGCCAGCGAGCCTCTTGTGCAGTCATGGTGGCGGCATACAACTCGGATTCGCAGGACGAGAGGGCGATAGCCGAGGAGCGCGTGGAACGCCAGCTGATGAGGCCGCTGCCAAGAGAGAAGCCATAGCCCTGGGAGGAGCGACGGTCTGGTCGGGAGTCAGCCCAGGAGGAGTCACTGTAGCCGCTGAGGAGAGGTGGGGAAGGGCCGCCAAGGGTAAGGACATAGTCCTTGGTGCCACGAAGGTACCGGAGGACGCGCTTGGCAGCCTGCCAGTGCTCAGCCGTATGCTTGCCAGCGCCAACAAACCGAGCGAGGACGCTAATGGGGTAGGCAAGGTCAGGGCGAGTGGAAACCATGGTGTACATGAGGGAGCCGATGAGCTCGGGATAAGGATGAGAGGAGGCGGAGGGGGAGGTGGGTGGAGAGAGGTGGTGCCCGACAGAAAGAGGTGTATGTTGGGCGCCGCCGCGGGCCATGTCAAACCGCTCCAAGACCTGCTGCTAGTAATGACCCTGGGAGAGTGAGATGGTGCGGGCGGAGCGGTCACGGGTGATGGTCATGCCCAGATAATGCTGCAGCTCTCCCAAGTCTTTGCACTTGAGACGGGTGCCCAACTCAGCCTTAACATGCTCCAACTCTCCAAGGTCGGCAGTGAGCAGAATCATGTCATCGACATACACAAGGATGTAAAATGGGGAGGGGGAGGTGCGGAGGAAGAGGCTGGCGTCAGAGCGGGAGGTGTGGAACCCAAGTTCAGCAAGGGTGGCGGCAAGTTTAGCATGCCACTCCCTCGGGGCCTGTCGGAGCCCATACACCGGTCGACGCAGCTGCCAGACAGAGTCAGCTGGGAAGGGGAGGTGAAAGCCGGTTGGACGCTCCATGTAGATAAGCTCGCGGAGGACGCCTTGTAGGAAGGCGTTAGAAACGTCCATCGAGTGGATCTCCATATTGAGGCGAGCGGCGAGGTCGAGCACGGCACGAACAGTAGCAGGCTTGGCAGTAGGGGAGAAGGTATCGAAGAAGTCAAAACCATACCGCTGCGTGAACCCCTTGCCGCAGTAACGAGCCTTATAGACGGGCGGCTCCCCTGGCAGCTGCTTGACGCGAAACACCCACTTTCCTTTCACCACATTCGTAGGGGCGGGAGGGCGAGGCACATCGACAAAAGAGGAGTTGCCGATAAAGGCCTCCAGCTCCTTGATGATGGCGACGAGCCATAGCGGAGCGTCAGGGCACGCCATTGCCTCCTCGTACGTGGTAGGAACGAAAATGGAGGGAGCAGAGGAGAAGGCGAAGACAGGTGTGCCGGAGAGGTCGAACGTGATGGGTAGAAGCGAGGGGTCATAAAGGTGGAGGTCAAGGAACTCTTCATGGGAGTCCTCAGAGAGGGAGGTGTGGAAGGCACGGATGACTGCTGGTGCCGCTGCTGGTGCTGCTGGTGGAGGCGTTGCCGGTGCCGCTGTTGGTACTGCTGCTGGTGCCGCTGCTGGTGCCGCTGCTGGTGCCGCTGCTGGTGCCGCTGTTGGTGCCGCTGCTGGTGCCGCTGCTGGTACTGTTGCTGGTGCTGTTGCTGGTGCCGCTGCTGGTGCCGCTGCTGGTCCCACTGCTGCTACCGATGCCGCTCCCGCTGCTGCTGCCGCTGCTGGTCCTGCTGGTGCTGCGGCTGCTGGCGCTGCTGCTGCTGCCGCTTCCGGTCCCGTCGCTGCTGGAGCTGCTACTGGTGCTGCTGCTGGAGAGGAGGTAGCTGAGGGGGCTGTTGCATGAGGGGCTTGATGCAAGACAGCTTGGAAGAAGTGACGAAGGAGGGGGGAGAGAGGGGGGAGTGTAGAGGTAGAGAGGGTAACGGGAGACGGTGCACCAAGGATACCGTCACGTGACCTGGTGTGGGGATACCGGGTGAGTATGGTGCGGGAAGGGGGAGGACGGATTCGTGGCGAGGGAGAGGAAGGGGGGGGGGGGAGGGGTACTAGGAGAGGAGTGAGCGGGGGAGACAGGAGAAGACAGAGGTTCCGGGTCAAAGATGTCACCAGAAGAGGGAGGGGCACCATGGGACTGGGACGGCGGAGAAGGGGGGGGTGGGAGAATGGGGGGAGGAGGGAGTAGTGGGGGAGGGGTGGTGTCAGACCAGACTAGGGGACGGGTGAGAGGGGGGAGTGGGTCAGTAGATGTGGGAGAGGAGTAGTAGGGAGTGGACTCGTCAAAGACCACATCCTTACTGCGGATAAGACGACCGGATGGGGGGTGGAGGAAAAGGTAGTCGGGGGAGGAGGGATTATGACCAAGGAAGATGCAAGGAAGGGTGCGAGGGGCAAGCTTTCCCATGGAACGGGAGCGGTCAGAGGGGTGAATGAGGACATGTGCCTTAGAGCCCCAGACACGAAGTGATGAGGCATCAGGCTTGTCCTTCGTCCACAGCTCAGTGGGGGTGATGGAGGGGAGAAGGGGGTGAGGGTAAAGGTTAGTAAGGAGGGCGGCATGAAGGAGGGCGTAGCCCCAAAGAGAAGGGGGGCAGGAGGCGTGGACAAGCAAGCACCGGGCTGTTTTGGTGATCTCTCGAACACGACTCTCAGCCACGCCGTTCTGCTGTGGGGAGTGAGGGAGGGTGTAAGTCTGAAGGATGCCACGAAACTGACAATAGGAGGAGACTTGGTTGTTGAGGAACTCACCACCTCCATCAGAGTGAAGGCGGCGAACAGGGCGCCCAAAATGGGTGTTTGCCCACTCGAGCCAGGCGATGATCGCAGCCGGGGCATCCGCCTTCGTCCGAAGGAGAGAGACAGACGAGTACCGACTGTGATCATCAACAAGCACGAGAAGGTAGCGATGGCCCTGGCGAGTGGGAGAGGGATTAGGGCCCCATAGGTCCATGTGAACAAGATCAAGTGGCTGCGCAGCAGCGGAGGGGGAGCTCCGGTGCGACTGCTGCTTGAGCTTGCTCTGAACGCAGACGGTGCAGGGGGGGGCAGGGGATTTGGGGAGGGGAGGGAGGGAGGAGGGGAGACCGTGAAGGAGACCGGAGGAGACAGAGGAGCGCAGAGTAGCGAAGTTGGGTTGGCCTAGCGTGTGATGGAGGAGGATGGTGGGGTGGGAGAGGGAGCGACAGGAACAGTCAGAGTCAGGAGGGCGGGGGGGGAGGGGTGGGTTAGTGGGAGGGAGGGGAGGGGAGGGGGGGGGGGGGGAAGGAGGGGGGGGGGAGGCAACTTGGAAGGTGAGGGGGCGGGGAACCCGAAGGGTGTACAGACGGGAGCGAGGACAATAGGGAATACGGGCGAGGAAAACGACCTGTGGAGGTTTGGTATAGGTCACAATGGTTAGCACCACCTGGGATGAGAGTGGTGATCATGGCTTGTTGGAGGGACCTTTGGGAGAGGTGGTTAGTACGAAGGGAGGGAATGTGGAGACCGGTGACAGTACCTGAGGGAAAGAGAGGACAGGGAAGGCTGGAGGTGTTGTGACAAGAGATGGAAAAACCGCTATCAGCGCCGAGGAGGGAGGTTGGTGTGGGGAGAGGGCGCGGTGTACCAGCGTCGCGAGGGACAGTGTCAGTGGCTCCACTGTCCAGAACGAAGTCAATGGTGGAGGAAGGTGAGGCAAAGTATTGGAACGAAGTTTCATTAGCAGAAGAAGGGTACATGGGAGATGCAACAGATTCAGGTTGACCTAATAAACCAACAAAGCCAGAGGAAGGGAAAGCGGTCACACTGCCACCTGCAGACGGCGCCGAGGATGCACCCGAGAGATGGGCTGCAGAGGCAGCACTCCCAGCAGTCCAGGTAGGAAAGGGCTGCTGCTGGGAAACCGGAGGAGGGAGGAGGGGCAGTTGCGGCTGGAGGGCGAGCTGCTGCTGGAGATGCTGGAGCTGCTGCTGGAGCTGAGAGAGGAGAAGCTGCTGCCCATACTGCTGTGACCCCTGCTGCTGTGACCCCTGTTGCTGATTCCCAAGCTGCTGTTGCTGTTGCTGCTGCTGGTGCTGCTGCTGGTGCTGCTGCTGGGGAGGGGTGAGGGCCTGGTGGGCATGGGTGGAGGAGGGAGGTTCATAGAGGGGAGAGGAACGGACCTCAAGGGGAGTGGGGCGAGGGTTGAGGGCGGACCAGCGAGGAGGGGTGCCGGTGTTGCCACGGGCAAACCACTCATCACTGAGTGCCTTGAAGCACGTCTCAGTGGCATGGGTGGTTCGGCCGCAACGCTGTCCCTGAGTGGGACCATAGCGAGGCAGGTACTGTCAGGGAGGAAAGGCAGCTGCCGTACCACGACCCGCACCACTGCTGCCAGCACCACCGCGACCTGCTGATCCCCCTCGTCCACCCCCACGCCCACCACCACGCCCACCCCCACGCCCACCGCCACGGCCACCCCGGCTGCTGCGCGACTGGGCTGCTGCGGCTGTGGAGGAAGAGTGGCGAAGGATCTCAGCTTCGGTGGTGATAATCCACTGAGCGACTTCGGCAGGGGTGTGGTGCTTGGAGATAAGCTGCATATAAGCAAGCTTGTGAGCGTCGAAGGCAGGTGTGAGGCCCTCGAGGAGGTGGCAGCAGATGACGATGTCCGGGTACACCACATCGAGTGCTGCAAGGCGCCGAGCAAGGTCTAAGACACGGCGAGTGAAAGCAGCTGCGCCAGAAGTGGAATCCATGGAGAGAGTTCCAAACTCCTTGATAAGGGCGTAAAGAGTGGCAACGTCCTACCGATCGAAAAGGTCGACCAGCAGTCGCCACAGGTGGGAGGAGGAGGTAGGTGAGAGCTCGCGTTTGAGGGAGGAGGAGATGGTGGCGAGAAGAATGTCAAGCGCGCGTCGATCAGCAACCCGCCGGGCAGTAATTTTCGTGGTGTAGTCTGCAAGTTCTGCAGTGTAGGTGTCCAGGTCCTCCTGGTATTTGTTGTAGCGGGCAGCGGCGTCGTCATAGATACGCCTGTCGTCTTCGTAACGCAATTGCAAGCGCATGTGCTCTTGGAGATTGGTGCGGTAGGTGCGAATGGCGGTTTCCGAGCTCTGCGGGTCGTTGACATTCGGCGCAAAGGTGGGAGGATCACCGGGGGGAGAGGGCTCGGCGCCAGGGTGGGCGGGGGCAGGTCCAGTAGGAGCGGTGGGGGCCACGGGCTGAAGTCCACCGCCTTCCTGAAAGACAACCGAGCGAAGGTTGTAGCCGCTGACCACAACAGAGGAGAGGAGCACCTCAACGGAATGAGCATAAGAGTGCCAATTAGCAGCAGAGTTGTCAGGCAGCAACTCGAGTGCGTCAACAGTGGCAAGGTCGACGGAAGAATCGGACGACGATGCCATAGAGATGAGGGTGGGTAGAGGCTAGGGCAGGAGGAGGATGGTGCGAGGGTACCGTTGCCAGTGCTGCTGCTGGCCTTGCTGCCCGTGCCGCTGCTGGTTCTGCAGCTGGTGCCGCTGCGGATGCTGCTGCGGGTAGGATGGGAGGAGGAGGAAGGGAGGAGCGGAGGGTGGGGAAGGTGGAGGAGGAGGAGGGCGATGCTATGGGGGATGCAAGGGGGAAGGGTGCAGCTGGTGGTGCCGCTGCAGGTGCTGCTGCTGGTGCTGCTGCAGGTAGGATGGGAGGAGGAGGACGGTGGAGGAGGAGGGCGATGCTATGGGGGAGGCAAGGGGGAAGGGTGCTGCTGGTTGTGCCGCTGCTGGTGCTGCTGCTGGTAGGATGGGAGGAGGAAGGGAGGAGCGGAGGGTGGGTTGGGTGGAGGAGGAGGGCGATGCTATGGGGGAGGAAAGGGGGGAGGATGCTGCTGGTGGTGCCGTTGAGATGCCGCTGATGATGCTGCTGTGGGTACAATGGGAGGAGGAAGGGAGAGAGGGGGGGGGGGGTGGGACGAAGAGGGCAGCCGTGCGACAGATCCGCGCGACTGGGAAGCCGGTGGCGAATGCACGCGGGACAGCCCGCGGCAAACGAGCGGGACGTGCAGAGATGGGCGCGAAATGGTCAGATTTCAGCGCGGGAGATGCAGATCTGGTCGCGCGGAGTGCAGATCTGGTCGCGCGGAGGGCAGATCTGGTCGCGCGGAGGGCAGATCTGGTCGCGCGGAGGGCAGATCTGGTCGCGCGGAGGGCAGATCTGGTCGCGCGGAGGGCAGATCTGAGCGCGCGGAGGGCGGATCTGGGCGGGAGGAGTGCAGATCTGGGTGCGAAATGTTCAGATCTGGGCGCGGGAGGAGGAGATCTGGTGGCGCGGAATGATCAGATGTAGGCGCGGGAGGAGTAGATCTGGTCGCAGGGAGTGCAGATCTGGGCGCTGGAGTAGCAGATCTGAGCGCGGGGAGTGCAGATCTGGGCGCTGGAGTTGCAGATCTGAGCGCGGGGAGTGCAGATCTGGGCGCTGGAGTAGCAGATCTGAGCGCGGGGAGTGCAGATCTGGGCGCTGGAGTTGCAGATCTGGACGTGCCTTGGAGGGCAGTGCCTTAGGGGGCGCACGGGGAGGGAGGACGGCGCCTAAAGGGCGCGTGAAGGGAGGGCAGCTCCGTGTGTGGGGCTAGATCTGAGGAACGGGGAGGAGAGGGTGGCCTAAGGACCGAGGGAGGAAGGCGTGAGCCATTAGCTCATGATACCATGTTAGAAGAGAGAGAATTGATGCACTGAATAATGAGCCAAAAGGCTCTTTAGTACAAGCAATGAGCAAGGGAAAGATGAGAAGGAAGCTTACCCTATTGGCCAATAAGTTGGCCAATGGGTGAGCTTGCTTATGGCCCAAGCAACCACAATATATGTGTTGGTTGGGATTGGTTGAGGTAAGGACCAATCCCCACCAACCACAAAATGTGGTTGGAGGGTACACTAACCAACCCCCCAATTTATAAGAGTGCTACACATCTAAGTCTAGCCTATGCATGTTGTATAAAATATGGAATTACAACAATGTGGGGATATATATGTGTGTGCGTTTGGGCGTGGGCGTGTGTGGAAGGGTGTGTTTGTGTGCTTCACTTGTTCCTCGCACCGCATCTTGCTAACACCCACCCGTTTGCTGCTTCCGTCTCTGTCCCCTCCTATTCAGGAGCAGCAGCAGGAGCAGCAGCAGCAGCAAGAGGAGGAGGGTGAGCGGGTGCACGGTGCAGCAGTGGTTAGCAGTGCCGCGCCCGCAGCTGCACCCAGCAGTGTGCCTTTTGCAGCAGAAGCCATGACAGGTCATAGGCTGAGGTCAGCTGGTAGCACCGGAGGGAATGGGGGGCGAAGGAGGGCGTGGGGTGGGGAGGTGGAGGAGGTGCGGGCAGATAAGATGTGCATGGATAAGGGAGGGCTGCTGGGAGGGGAGGGAGGTGGTGTGGGGAGCGAGGAGAGGGGTGTGGGAAGGAGGAGGGGGAGGCGGAGGAAGAGCGAGAGGATGAAGGATGAAGAATATCTCTGGGGCACGGTTCATGGTTCAGACGGAGGGGAAGAAGAGGAGGAGGAAGAGGAAGAGGAAGAGGAAGAGGAGTATGAAGAGGATGAAGCAGAGGAGGAAGAGGAGGAGTATGAGGAAATGGAGGAAGCAGATGAGGAGGAAGAGTTGCTGACTTGGAAAGATGCTCAGGGTAACGGAAGAGTTGGTAACGGCACGTATGTGAGTCAAGGGCAGTACGGCGAAGCAGAGGAGATGGCACGCTGTTTGATGGCAGGTGCTGAGAAGGGCGAGGGTGAGGTGGACGATGGCAGGGAGGGAGACGTGCAGCACAACCCTGGGCAGCGGAGGAGAGGTTATGGCGGCCAGGAGCTGGGGCATGAGGGTGGAGGGAGAGGCGGCCTTGGTGCTGCAGGTGTGGCTCTGGAGAGTGGTGGAGGGCGAGGGGTAGGAGGAGGAGGAGAGAGGGAACGAGAGAGGGATGTGGTTCGGCAGGTTCGGCGTGACATGGTTCGGTTGGAGGCTCGGATACCGTGGCTCGGGGTCAGGTCTGGGTGGAGGAACCGAAGGTCGGCGTGGCGGAGGGCGGTTAGAGACAGCTGTAGCGCTCTGGTTGGTCCTTCCTTCTCTCCCATTTCTATTGTTCCTTCTTCCTTTGTCCATGTCTTTCTCTTCTCTTGTGCCTTTGCCTGGGTCCATTCGTTTGCCTGGTCATGACTCTTTCTTTTTACTTGTTAAACACAAGCCATGCCAACCTCTCCCTTTAGCCCTGTTTCGGTATGCGTTTTGAGCTGTTTTGGTCTGCCATACACGAGCATTCTCGTAGTATCCCTTCCATTCTCCTAGTGTGTTGCGTCGGATTACAAATGCCTGCATTGCCACGAGGAACGCCGTTCTGTTGAGAGCTTCCTGCTCCCATCGCGCGCTCCTCTGTTGACCGTTGTTGAGGCGCCCCTCAGCACGTTTGTGAACCTCCACCTCACCTCACCTCACCTCACGTCACCTCGCCTCACCTCAACTCACCTCACCTCACCTCACCTCACCTCACCTCACCTCACCTCACCTCACCTCGCTGCAATCCTTCGTCCCAACCCCCAAACCGCACTGGGCAGGAGTTGGTGCATCGTGTGGACGAGTTTCGAGCGCACCTGCTGCTGCACCACGCTGCTCTCCTCTCCGACCACCACTGGGCCCTCCGTGTTGCTGCCGCTGCTGCTGCCTTTTCTGCTCCCACTACTGCTGCCCCTGCTCCTGCTCCTGCTGCTCCTGCTGCCCCTGCTCCTGCTGCCCCTGCTGCTGCTCCTGCTGCCCCTGCCCTTGCCACTGCCTCTTCTGCTCCAATTGCTGCTGCCCCTGCTCCTGCTGCCCCTGCTGCTGCTCCTGCTGCCCCTGCCCTTGCCACTGCCTCTTCTGCTCCAATTGCTGCTGCCCCTGCTGCTGCCCCTTCCCCTACCCCTGCCCCTGCAGCTGCTGCCGCCACTGCTGCTGTTGCTGCTGCTGCTGTTTCTGCTGCGCCTGCTCCTGGTGGGAATGACAATCGTGATGCCAGCTTTGGTGCCACCTCTGCTGCTGCTGAGGTCACCAACTCTGCTGGTGCTGACATGGCAGGATGGCATGCTGCCACCTGTCACGGCATGCTGTTGGAGCTCTGGACACGTCTGCATGATGACGTCAGCAAATGGCTTGAGGCTCGGCCCAAAGAGGCTGTTGGGAATGTGTGAGTTGCCGACATGGTGGCATGGTGGCATGGCCGTATGATGGCAGGGTGGCATGGCGGTATGATGGCATGATGGCATGGCGGTATGCTAAGTTGGAATATACGCTTAACACCTTAAGCGTACAGCGTATGTACGCTAGCGTACAGCGTATGTACGCTAGCGTACATACGCTATCCGCTATACGCTAGCAAATACGCTATACGCTCTTAGATTTTTTTTAGGGCTGCCCGAAAAAAGAATCGCAAAAAAGATGCGGATTTCCTAGGTGAGCATTTCGCCGTAGTCGAAATTCAAGTCCGCAGTCTAGGCAAACGGGGATCTGACTTCGAAGTCGTCAGGCAAATGTTGGATTTCAGATCCCATCTAGGCATTGAAATCCATCCCTTCTACCGCATTGAACCCCACTCTATCTACAAACTCCAACCTGTCAAAATTTCCCAAACAACAAATCTCACAGTACTTACCAGCCAGCCCTGTTGGCTAACCCTAACTCGTCATTTCGTTCCCGCTTTCACCAGAGTTCACGCTTCTTCGCTTTCTTGCTATTATGGTTACTCCACCTTCAATTGCACTCGTCATTCGGATTCAGGATTATGCAAGGGCAAGCCTTAGTGAGAATAGGGAGTACTTTTATTTCACCCTGCCCGGAACGTTTTTTCTCTGCCCGAAAAAGCGTTTCTCCAAAGCAAACCCCAAAGCGAACCCCTAAGAGGATAGCGTGTATACGCTAGCGTATATACGATACGCGAATATACGCTGTACGCGTATATTCCAACTTAGGCGGTATGATGGCATGCTGGCATGGTGTGAGCACAGGTGTGAGCACAGGTGTCAGCATAGTTGTGTGCACACTTTTGAATGTATTTCATCCTCCGATGCCCTGTTGCTGTAGACCTTTCTCACACCTTCCGCTTCTCCCTTCTTCCACCTCTCGCTCCCCGTCCCCACGGCGTCCCCCTCAGTGTGTCAGCAGTGGCAACACTGGCACGCCACACAGCAGCCTCCCCAGCACACGCCACCCTGCCATCGCCATCACCCTCCCCCTCCTCCCGCGCCCTGCCTCCCACCGGCCCCCCTGTGGAGGCACTCTTCCCCTGGGTGGCGCACTTGAAGCCGCTGCTGCCTGCGCCCGCCCTCACTGCTGCAGTGGCCGTGGCAGCATCAGAGGCAGCAGCTGCTGTGAAGGGAGGCGGGAGAAAGTTACAGGTTTGTGCTTCTCCCCCTACCCTTGCCCGCTCAAGCATCTCACTCTCTCCCAGCTCTTGGCTAGTCAGCATTGGCCTTGTCGTGCCGATGCCATCTCCTCATCTTCCCCAGTTTTCAACGCGCCCCATAACTCTCGGTGTCGTGCCGTGTCATCTCCATATTTTCCCCTTCCTGCCCTGGTTTTCCTGTTCCCTTTCTCTCGTTCTCTCTCTCTCTCTCTCTCTCTCTCTCTCTCTCTCTCTCTCTCTCTCTCTCTCTCTCTCTCTCTCTCTCTCTCTCTCTCTCTCTCGCTCTCTCTCTCTCTCTCCTCTCTCTCTCCTGTGTCTGCGCCGGTAGGTCTTGCAGGGTGTGACGCTGCGCCTCATTCTTTCTCACAGCCCTGCTGAGCTGGCAACGATTCGTGCAGCACTGGAAAGGGAGCGACGCCACGTCAGCGCTCTGCTTGCTGACATGGACCAGCCGGCCAATCCGACTTCTGCTGCTAGCAATGCAGCTGCCAGTGCTGCTGCCGGTGCTGCTGCTGGTGCTGCTGCTGGTGCTGCCACTGCGCCAACTCTTGCTGCTGCTGCCAGTACTGCCGCTCCCCCCGCCTGTACTCTTCCAGCTGATTCAGCTCCTCCTGCTGCCACTATCACCCCTCACCCTGCATTGACCACACAGCTTCCGGTTCGCCCACCAGCCCCTCCCACCCCTCCCCACCCGAGACACCCAGGTATGGTTAGGGGAGGCAGGCGGACAGGGGTCAGGGCTGTTGCTGCTGCTGCTGATGCTGCTGGTGATGGTGCTGCTGCTGTTGGCAGCGCTACCACTGCCGGTGCTGCTGCTGGTGCCGCTGCTGGTGGTGCTGCAGGTACTGGTGGAGTTGATGGAGGTGAGGGCGTAGCAGGTGTCTTTTCAGATACAGGAGGTGGCGAGACACAGGTTGCAGCAGCAATTACTCCAGCGGCAGCAGTGGCAGCAGCCACACCGACAAAAGCAGCACGACCAGCAACAGCAGCAGGTGGAAATGGTGAGCGAGTGAGAAAGAGGTCACACGCATCTTGGATCGCAGAGGAGCTCGGGGATGCACCGGTGCAGCAGCAGCAGCAGCAGCAGCAGGTGGGGGGCGAGGGGCACGGCGGGCGTGCAAAACGGCGGAGGGGAACTTCCATGCACTCTCACGGAGAGGGGCGAGGTGGGGGCCGTGCAGATGGCGCTTTGGAAGCGGCAGGTGAGGCGGGTGGGACAGGTGGGGCAGATGAGGCAGAGGGTCGCAGGCAGGCAGAGGTGGAGGAGGCAGCACATGGAGCACAGAGCGTCACAGAGCGTGGTGCCCGCATGGGGACTGCTGCTGTTGCTGGTGCAGTGGCAGGGAGGGTAGCTGTGGGAAGGAGGTCGTTTGCTAGAGCAGGGAGTGCAGCAGCAGGTGCAGCAGGGGGGGAATCAGCAGAGACAGCAGGAGTGGCAGGTGCAGGTTTGGGAGGAGTGGCAACAGCATCTGGTTCGGGTAGAAGAGGGAGGTACAGCTCAGGTGCAGCAGGAGTGCCTGTGTCAGCAGCAGCAGCAGTGATTGCCCGGAGGCGGGGGCTAAGAGGAATAGGGGGGATGGGGCAGAGGCAGGGAGCTGCCGTGTGGGGCAGCAGGGGAAGGAGGTTGGTGAGTGGTGTGGCTGTGGGAGTGGGGCGAGGTGGGAGGGGTGTTAGAGGCAGAGGTAGAGTGGGGCACGGTGCTGCTTTGGGTGTGGAGAAAGAGGCAGAGGGAATGGGTGGCAGGGGAGCAGAAAGGGAAGGGCTGGCAGGGAGTGAAGGGGGTGATGAGAGGAGAGAGGGGCAGTGGGGAGTGAGTGCGGGAGGAGAGGGTGAGACGGGCAGAGCGAGGGTGGGACGGAAGAGGAGGCGAGGAGTGCTGATCGGCACCAAGGAAAGGACAGCAACAGCAGCAGCAACAGGAGCAGCAGGAGCAGCAACAGCAGCAGCAACAGGAATAACAGCAGCAGGTGCAGTTGGGGGGAAAAGCCTGCCACGGCGATTACAAGCAACTTCAGCAGCAGATTCTCTCAGTGACCCTGCCACAGCTGCCTACAGTCACCATGGCAGCACCTCCTTACAAGCACAGCCTCGCCCTCTCTCCACGCGCACGCTCCGCTGCTCCCCTTACCCCGCACCAACACAGCCAGGTTCGGACGACGAGTCCGCAGGCTCGGAAGACGTTGGGGATCTGAGCCTGGGCTCTCCAGGTGGCTCAGGGGAACTGCCTCGGGTTCTGTCCCTGGGGGGACTGGGGGGGCTAGAGGGGGTGGAGGGGATGGGGTTTGAGGGGTTTGATGGGGCGTTTGATCTGGAGGACATGGCTGAGCTGGATGATGCTGCTGGGCTGGGCTTCGACTCATAATGCTGCTGGGCTGGGGTTTGAATGATGCTGGTGGAATGATGATACATGTGAAAGTGGTGTGGATTTGGGGCTGTGCTTTGAGTGATTATGGGGGTTGAAAGCTTTGGTGGGATTTTACAGCAGATTGGAGTAAGAGTACATACAGTGTACTTCAGTGTAGCTGTTCTTGTCGATACTGGTTCTGCAGAGGTAAGAGAACCTGGTCCAGCAAAATGCTGAGCCTCCATTAGTACTGTAGGCAGGCCCTCAGATATCAGCATAAAACACGCTGATTACGCTGATTTTGTAGCTGTGATTTTCGTTTTCCCTGAAAATTCAGCATATGCTTCAATTTTGCACTGAAATTTCAGTATATCCTACCTTGTCACACTGACCATTTTGCATGTTTCTTGACAAGAAACACTGACGAATCAGTATAGTGACGTGAGTCACACTGAAACGGAGTTGATTGCGTGTGGGGGGGTGGTGGGGGGGGTGATAGGGTACGCATGTACAATCTGTACCTTCCCGTGATTCCTGAGACCCCACCCACACACTAGGCATTTTTTCGCATGCACTGCACAGATATCAGGTGCGCGCCGAAGTGTGTAGCCTCGCTGGAACCTATCACAGCAACAACACCACACACCTTGTACTGGGGTTTCAGCTATAGTTTTTTGTTATTACACTGTTGGTTCAGTTTACTTATGATTTTTACACTGGCAAAATCAGTATAAAAAAAACCGTGAACGCTGATTTGGACACCTCGTTGGCCGGGGCACGCTGATCCATCAGCATACCCTCAAACCAATCTGAGGGCCTGACTGTAGGTATATCAGAACCATTTGAATGAAAGAGTAGAATAGTGCTCGGTTCATTCTTTTTTGTTCATCCGTTGGCCTTTCTGTGGCTCTAGTTGCAGTGCTTCATATATATCCATTTGCTGCCCAACTGTATATTACCATACATGTGTTCTATTCCATTGATGCATTATGCATAGTATACCGTGGACCAATGCTTAGTATACCGTGGATCAATGCATACCGTCATCGCCCGGATAGTAGACATTGTTGAATAGTAGACAGGGGTTGTCTATTATCCGGGTGTTCTTATAAACAGGCTAGCCTCAGCTAAGACACATATTTGTGTGTACGAGGTAAGAGTCTTAGAATCGAAACTGCAATATATTATAGTGAAACTTGAAATACCGCGTACATTTCTACCTTCGCTATGCGCGAATTCTTCCACGTGCTGACTCAGGTACTGCCAAATTTGCCTCTGCAAGTATTTTCCATGACGTGGCTTCCTAAACCGTGGCTGCCGAAGTGGCACCTTAGTCAAACTAATATGTTGCATGTTGTGTAGGCTATAGTGGGGTAGCCCATATGGGGTACAGCCCAAATTAGGGTTAGTGCTTGTACCCAGGGCTGACGTTTCAAAAAAACCCACTCTGAGGCAGGGGAGAAAAAAAAATCGTTTAGTCTGAGGGCCATTTCCCAAGTTCTGAGTACTCTGAAATGTCAGGTTTGAAAAAATCATTACCGTAGTCTGAAAAGTTTTAAGTTTGTAAAACCGCATCCGAGTTGGTGAATAGCGAATATCTGTCAAGCGAGTTTGGCCTAGGGAAAACGTTGCGGAGTTGGCGAGAAGCAAGAGTAAGAGGGGGCGGGGGAAGGGGGAGGGGGGAGGGGGGCAGGGGGGGAATTGAATGTAATTCGAGAGAGGGGGAGGGGGGAGGACTGAAATTCGGCAAATTCAGGGGCCATACTCCCTGTAGTCTCGAGTCTCAGTATCGCACAATGAAGTACTCTGAAATTTTCAGAGTTGAAAAACTAACAGGTCTGAGGCCTTCAGAGTTCAGAATACAGGAATACTGAAATTTCAGGAAAGGCGAAAAAAAAGAGTCTGAAATTTCAGACAATCAGACTAAAATAGTCTGATAAAATCAGCCCTGCTTGTACCCATCTTGCTGCTAGTTCATTCATTCTCACTTTCACATTCTGACGTGTCCTCTCTTAGGACAGTTTTTAGGGCCCACCGAATCGCGCTACCCCACACGTCGCGCCGCCCTGTTCGCGCCGCGCTGCCCTACCCTGCCCTGCGTTGCACTGCCCCTGGCACGCCCTGCCCTGCGCCCTGCCCTGCCCGCGCGCCGCTTGCCGCCGCGCGCCCTGCCCTGCCCGCGCGCCGCTTGCCGCCGCACGCCCTGCCCTGCCCGTGCGCCGCTCACCGCCGCACGCTCTACCTTGCCCGCGCGTCGCTCGTCGCCGCACCATCTGCCCTGCCTGCGCGCGACTCGCCGCCGCGTCGCCCTACCCACGCGCCCTGCCCGGCCCGCACGCCGCTTGCCACTGCGCGCCCTGACCTACCCGCGCGCCGCCTGCCGCCGCATCGCCCTGCCCGCGCGTTGATCGCCATCGCGCGCCCTGCCCGCGCGTCACTCGCCGTCGCGCACCCTGCCCGGCCTGCACGCCGCTTGCCGCCGCGCGCCCTGCCCAGCCTGCGTGCCGCTCGTTGCCGCGCGCCCTGCCTTGCCCGCGCGCCCTGCTCTGCCCGCGCGCAGCTCGCCGCCGCGCGCCCTGCCCTGCCCGCGCGCCCTGCTCTGCCCGCACGCAGCTTGCCGTTGCACCCCCTGCCCTGCCCGCGCGTAGCTCGCCGCCGCGCCGCCTACCCTGCCTGTGCGCCGCTCCCCGCCATGTTGCAGCCCTGCCCACGTGCAGCCGCGCGCCCTGCCCTGCCTGGGCGCCGCTCGCTACCGAGCCGCCCTGCCCGCGCGCCGCTCGACACCGCGCTGCCACCCTGCCCGAGCGCCGCTCGCTGCCGCGCTGCCCTCCCCTGCCCGCACGCCGCTCGCCGCCGTGCCGCCCCGCCCTTCCGTGCGCCGCCCTGACCTACCCTTGTGCCCGCTATGGCGTCTCTTCATGGTAGCGGTGGGAGTGGTGGCGGCGGTGGTGGCAGCAGTGGGAGTGGTGGCGCCGGCCATTGTGACAGTCTAGGGAGAGCTGTTCGGTGGGGAGCCTCTGGCGGTGGCCAGCTGCAGCTCCAGCGGCGTCCGCTCGAGAACCTCACTCCCGAGCAGCTTCGTGAGTGGTTCGCTAGTTGGGGTAGTGGCGGTGGAGCTGTTCAGAGGGGAGCTTCTGGCGGTGGCCAGATGCTGCTGCAGCAGCGTTCGTGCGAGACCCTTACGCCCCAGCAGCTTCGTGAGTGGTTCGCTCAGCGTGGGGCGTCTTGGAGTAGTGCTCCCTGCCCATATGGCATTCGCACAGATGATCGGGCTGGTCAAACTTGCGGGACACCTGGTCACACACAGTCCCGCTGCTTCTCCTGTTTGAGCGACACCTGGCGTGCAGAGTTTGGCGACGCGGCTGAGCTCCCCCGCTAGCTAGAGCTGCTTAGGCAGGGTATGGATATCTTTCCACTAGACTATGACGCTATCCTCACTGCCATGTATGCTCTGACTATTAGTACTCAGTGTGACTGTTACCCTGGTATAGAGGCTACATCTCTAGGTGCTGGTGCGTCTGCTCTAGGTGCTGGTGAGTCTGCTCTAGGTGCTGGTGAGTCTTCTCTCTCTGGTACTGCGCCTGCTGAGGCCTTGCACACCTTCACGCTTGACTAATGTGCTTCTTTCGCAATAGCACCACTGTCACACCAGTCACAGCACCGGTTGCAGTCTCTCTGGCTGACCCCTCTGGGAGACCGGTTTTTGCACGTTCCTCCACTATTTTCCTGTGTCCGGCGCTTCCGTCTGGCTCACTGTTAGGTCTTCACCTCCCCTCATTCTCTACGAACTTGGTGAGCAACGCCGTTCTTCAGGATGAATGGGTTAGTACCTTTAAACCTGGAGAACAGCGTGTGGCAATCTGCATGTGTGCACGGACGGGCCGTCACCTGGCCACGTTCACCCGTCGGCTTGGGTTGAGACTGTACACACTGACTACTAAGCCTCCTCAGGTAACTGCTTCTACGTCCGCGTCAGGTCAGATTGTGCCCCCCTGCTCGTGTCGCGCCCTGTCGCACCAGACTCTCCTTTGGCACCACCGCCTTGGTCACCCCTCCCTGCCACACCTCCGTGGCATGTATTCCCGCCTCCTTGTCTCTGGTCTTCCCAGGTCTCTGCCTCCCCTCCCACCCTCGCCTGCCCCTCCCTGCCTTCCCTGTGTCGAGGGGCAGCAGCGCGCCGCTCCTCACTCCTCGTTTCCCCTGACGACTGCTTCCCTGCAGACTCTCCACATGGACGTGTGGGGCCCAACCCACGTCCGTGGACAGGGCCACGAGCGATACTTTCTGCTGGTTGTTGACGACTACTTGTGTTACACCACGATCTTCCTCTTGCGCAGCAAGGGGGAGGTCCCTGATGTTTTGATCCCTTGGTTCCGCGCTATTCGTTTCCAGCTCTGCGAGTGGTTTGACACGGACCTTCCGGTCCTGCGTCCGCACTCTGACAGAGGTGGTGAGTTTGCCTCCGACATCTTGCGAGACTTTTTTTGTGGGGAGGGCATCATCCAGTCGTTCACGCTTCCGGCCTCTCTACAGTAGAATGGGGTTGCTGACCACCACATTGGCTTAGTCATGGAGGTTGCTCGTACCTCCATGATCCATGCGGCTGCTCCCCATTTTCTATGGCCGTTTGCGGTCCGGTACGCTGCGCATCAGCTCAACCTCTGGCCCCGTGTCTCCTTGCCAGGAAACCTCGCCGACACTGCGTTGGACGGGAGAGGTTGGCGATGCGTCGGTGTTCCGGGTCTTTGGCTCTCGTGCCTTTGTCCGCGATTCTTCCTCGGACAAGCTCTCCTCCCGCTCCATTCCCTGTGTCTTCCTTGGCTTTCCCCCTGACGCGCCTGGCTGGCAGTTTTACCACCCCACCTCGCGCCGTGTCCTGCCCTCTCAGGACGTCACGTTTGACGAGTCGGTTCCCTTTTACCATCTCTTCCCCTACCGCACTGCCCCGCTCCCTGCCCAGCCGCTCTTCCTTGCACCATGTCCTCCTCCGGTAGACCCCCTCCCCCCTCAGGGTCCTG